GCCCATGCTCTTATAGCCACCTGCACCTGCTCACATAGAGAACACATGAACACACACCGCTTAGGCCCTAGGAAGTTGGTTCTGGCTGTAGATGAACCAACCAACACCCGCTCTGGAGTGCAGCCTTGTGAGCTCGTTCCTGTGACTGTCCCTGGCCAATGGATCCCTTCTCAGAAATCAGGACAAAGCCAGCCTCAGGACTGTGGTGAGTTCGTTGAGGTAGCGTCACTATGTAAGGCCTTGAGGGGCCTTTTCTTCTTTTTTTTTTTTTGAGATGGAGTCTCGCTGCCCAGGCTGGAGTGTAATGGCGTGATGGCGTGGTCTCAGCTCACTGCAACCTCTGCCTCCCAAGTTCAAGCAATTCTCCTGCCTCAGCCTCCTGAGTAGCTGGGATTACAGGTACCTGCCACCACTCACGGGTAATTTTTGTATGTTCAGTAGAGACAAGGTTTCACCATGTTGGCCAGGCTGGTCTCAAACTCCTGACCTCATGATGTGCCCACCTCAGCCTCCCAAAGTCCTGGGATTACAGGCATGAGCCATCGTGCCTAGCCGAGGGGCCCTATTTTCAAGGTTCCATTAGCAGTAAGTGGCAAACCCAGGTCAGACATAAATTAAAAAGGAGTTATTGCCAGCACTAGGCTATTCCCTAGAGCCTTGGGGCAGGAGCACAGCAAGGACTTGGAAAGTAATGAGTAAGAACTCTCTCTTGCTGCATAGCAAACCACTACAAACTTAGTAGGTTAGCATGACAACAATCATTTATTTTGCTCACACATCTGCAGTTTGGATGGGGCATGGCAGGGTAGGCTCATTTCTCTCCAAGCCAGGCCAACCTGGGACCATGATGGTTCACACAAGCCACTCACACAACTGGCTACTGGGCACGTGTTGCTGTGGGGTGGCTCAGCTGGAGCTGGGCTTTGCTTGCAGCACAGACTGGGCTCCAGGGACATGTACAGCTAGAGAGCAGCACCAGCTGTATCTCCTTTTATAGGTCAACCTTGGCAGCCATGTAACACCATTTAGCCTGAGCTCACACAGTCACAAAGGCCTGCCTGATCAAGGGAAGGACTCAACACCATCTCCTGATGGGGGATGGCAAGGTAAGGTTCCAGATGAGGACATGGGACCAGAAATTTTTTTTTGTGGCCATTTTCAGAAAATGTAATCCATCACAGTAAGGAATCCATGCAACCACTCTCCATAGCTCGTGTGTGCGTGTATGTACATGTAAGTGTGCATATGTGAGTGTCCATGTGTGCATGTGTCCATGTGTGCATACATGTCTTGCTCCAGTTCTCTCCTCTCTCTGGTCACATGGCCTTGACCTCTGCTTCATCCTCTGTTTGTGCTCTTGGCCTCAGTTCTTCCTGCCTTCTCAGAATCCCCCCTCCTTCCTTTGGGAAGAGCTCCTCCACATTACTTCTTTTGAGAAACTTCCTCCCCAGGTGTTTTTGGTGGGACTATCCCTCAGGCCACCCATCCCTCCCAGGCAGCAAAGGGGTGGCACATGACTGGAGTTGGGCTAATCCAACTCTTTCCTGAGAATCTGACTTTAGTGGAGAATCCCAGGTGCTAGACACTGGTCACAGTTCTGTCAGTCCAACTCAGCCCTTGAGGCATCCACTGTCCAGTTCTTGTTCCCGGACTCCAAGAGCTACCTTACCCGTGCCTTCTGTAGACTCTGCAAGCATCCTGCAGTCTTCCATTAAACACTGATAAATATGCATATTTAGTTCCAATTCCACATAGAGGCTTTGCAGCCGTCTGACCTCTCCCACAATTCCAGATGGCTGATGGCTGAGCTGGGAAGAGGGCTGAGATCCAAACGAGAAATGATCCCTACAACCTTCTCAGACAAATGGCATCACTGCAGGCTGGGCAAATGCTCCAGATGGTGCCTCCTTGATACACTGCTATTTAATGTCTACAGTGTCCACACCCCCATTTTACAGAGGCAATAACTGAGGGACAGAGAAAGCAGAGCTCAGATTTCACAAGACACTGTCTGACCCCGTAAGGTTTGCTCCTTCGGTAAACCTCAGAATCTCCTCAAAAGTCAGGTCCCCAACTGTCCTCCTGGAAAAGCAGCCCAGCTCACTCTGAACTGGCAGTGGCTCAGATGATCCTGCTAAGGCCGAGAGACGGGAAAAAAAAGTGTTTTTGGTGTCAGTGCATGAGAGTCACAACTGCTTTGCTGTCACTGTAGGTCGACTGGCTCCAAATCACACAGCCTCTCATGGCAAACAAATGCTGTTAAGATCCTGCACCAGAGAACAACATTGACAATGAGGGAAAAGATCAATCCTGTGTTTACAGACTTAAATATCCTTAAGTCAAGCCTGGGCGTCAGAGCTGCCAAGGACTCTGCCTGTGTGACCAGATGTGCCCGTCCTCCCCAGACGGACTTCATGCTGCACATGGGACCACTGGCTCCTTGGCTGCTTAAACCACTGGGCTCATCTTCAGAAGGTGCCCGTGCAATTTGGTGACAAATCCCACCAATTTGTCAATACACTTCTTCCAAGTTTAAAAGCCAGTCATTGGAGGGATTGTTGGCAGATAAGGAAGCTGCTGTAGATGCAAAATGTCAAAGCACGATTCTGCTTTCCTAATGCTTTCTGGATGCTACTTCGTGCTCCGCCCCATATGAAGCACTTAGCGTTGCATTGTTTCCTTCGCTCCTCACGTCAGCCCAAGGAGATGGATTTGACCATTGCCCCTATTCTACAGAGGAGGCAGCTGAGCCCCAAAGAGGTAACTCACTTGCCACAGCCACCCTGCTAATGCTTAAGCCACACTAGTCAAGTTGTAAATAACTTTATGTTTATGCCCAATTTTAAATAGTATAAAAGATAAAAGGGATTTCCTGGCTCTTGAAACTAAAAAGTCCAAACTTGAGGGATGATTTGACTCCCAACATAGTCATCAAGAGCCTGATTTCTTCCCAGCTTTCCTGTCTGCCTCATCATCAAGGGTCTACCACTCAGGGCAGCAAGATGGCTGCAGCAGTGCTATCTACACACCATGGGTCCAGAAGGGAAGGGAGAAAAATATCCTTTCCCAGAATCCCTCAGCAAACACCTCCAGGCTCAATGGCCCTAATTGGGCCTCCCACCACCCTCAGCTGTGCTCAACGCATACAGTGCCAGTTGTATGCCCTTTGGAACCAGGGATGTCTCTGACCTCCCCAAACTCCAGGATCATAGGGGGAATAAAAGCCAGGGTTGCTTCCAAAGAGAGCAGGGAGTGTGTTGAGGACAGATCATCACAACCATGCAGTTGAGGAGCAATGATTTGAACCCAGGCTTGTCTGTTCATTCAGACAGTATTTACTGAGCCCTTGCTATGGGTCAGGCACAACTTTATATGCTGGAGACACAAACCTAAAAGGACCCTAACCTAAAAGGCAGACCCCACAAACCTACAAGGCAGAACAGCTGCCTCTCAAGGCTAAAGTCTCGCATTTTTAAAAGGCCTTGGAGCTTCATTAACGTTCTTCTAACGTCCTAATGTTCTTCTAACTAGCTTTTCTAGGTATGAATTGACCCTGTGACACCAGGATGGTTCTTTGTCAGCCTCTTTGTCTATAAAATCAGAAATAATGGTACCTCCCCCAATAAGTTATGTGGAAGAAATGAAAGGGACTTATTATATATGAAACAAAAGCAGCACAACATCCAAACTACTGAGCGTGCAGTAGATCAACTCTCATTCCCACTTCCATTCCATCCATGCCGATTTAGATCAATCCAAGTATCACTGCCTTGGGGTTCATAAAGTCATTTCAGTTCATAAAGCACCGCAAATGCTCCTTCACCCTCTCTGCTCAGCCTCCAACGTGTCCTTTTAATAATCCAAACTCTCCACCTACTTAACTGAAGTGTGTGCGTGGGGTGGGGGTGAGGGAGCGGGGGGGGGGAGGGGGGGAAGGGGTGGCCTATACTAAACAGCCCAACTGTTTTCAATGTGTCCTGAAATCTGAGACCAAGATTGTCTTAGGAATGCAAGCAAAGGGAGCCGATGGGACGCCAAGAAAGCACAGGTTAAACTACTTCACTTCATCTAGCCCCAGTTCTCTCCTGGCTTTGCAATTAATTTTTCAGCCTCAGACCAGCAGATGGAGCTGAAAATGTTGTCTAAAGAAATGAGGTTTTTCTTTTAATTTACAAGCTACAGTTTCTCAAACCTCCACACTGAATGGTTATATCCTGTTGAGCCTGTTGGTAAAGTTCAGTAAAAATCCAGTCCTCATTCCAGAACAGCTGAAACTTAGCTAGGGACGCGGAATAACAGAATCCCAACTCCTGACGGGCCCGCGTTTCCCGGGACACCTCAGGCCTCAGGGCAGTGGGAAGCCGCCGTCAAGCCCCCGCCTCACCCACGTCCTACCCTCGCCCCAGTCTCCTCCCACTCTTAGCTACATTTCCCATGTGACTAAAACTGGCTTCCTCTGTGTCCACCAGGACATCGCCTCTAAGTGGCTTAAGCTCCTAAGGAGCGCGATCGGCTCAGGCACTCCGCCACGCGCATGCCACAGGCGCGGCCGGCCTTGCCCTCGCTGTGGCCTCAAGCACCGCGGCGCCTCACATGTTGCCATACGGAAGGCCTCGGCGGGGTCAGGCAGCTGCTGCTGGCCGTGACTGCATCAAGTAGTGACGTTTCACGAGCCTTTTAACTGAAATCACTCCAATACAAGGGCATGCGGGACTAGGTGAAAGCACTTCACCCAACCCCACACAACGTCCCCTCCCTCTCCAGCCAAGCGGCCTCCTCGCAGCGGAAAGAACAGCGAGGATCTAGGGGCGGGACCTGAGAGGTTTGGCCCAATCAGGGATCCCACCTAACCAGACGGGCCGGGGTCTGTGACCCTGTTGGGCCAATAAAAACTCGACGGCGGATTTGCCGGGGTTTCTGGGAAGGTGACACTCCCGGAAGCTACCACCTCTTATAAGCCACACACGGGCGGAGATAGCCTTCCGGCTCGCAGTCCCACTGGCTAACCTCGCTGCCCGTCACGGGAATGCGAGAGGGGGCGGGGCCGGAGCGCTCGCGTCTGCGCGGAGTCCGGCTAGCAGCGCGCGGGAAGCCGCGGAACTGCGCCGGAAAGTCCCCAGGCTGTGGGGCCCCGGTGACCCAGAGTAAGCCTCCAAGAAGGAAGAGGAGGGAAGAAAGGCGGCTCTTCCCGTGCCCCTACCCGAGGCCTCGGTGGGCCCACCCTGTGACCTCCGCGGCCGGCCCCTCGGTGGAGCTGCGGCCCGCGCGGGGGGCATCCCGACCGTGGGCGCCGCGGCCCGCGCTGACCCTGGACGTCGCCGCGCAGGTAGGTTGCAGTCCCCCCGGCGGTCTGACCCCGGAGACAGCCTCTCGTGCATACCCCACGCCCTCCATTGTCGGGAATAAGACACGGCTGTACCTTTGTCCACGTGGTAGAGTTGCCTCTCTACTGTGCAAAACGCGTGGCAGCGAATTCTCTTCAATGAGGAGAGGCGCGTCCCCTCGCAGAGCAGCTCTCGGGTCTGAGGAGGGCAGGGCAGGGCGTGCGTCTGTCTAGGTTTGAATTAAAGGCGACTCGCAGGAAATAAGACCATGCCACTGTGGTAGCTTCTCCCGTCCAGCTCTGGACACTCGACGGTGCGGGCCGTGGGAGGAGGCGGCGATCTTCACAGCCTCTTACTCCAGTCCTCAAGGTCTGGTTCTTTTTCTGATTTGACGCAGCGGGGCTGACAGCCCCATAGGTAACTGAGAACCAAAAGTGGAGATGGTCCTTCTATGGAGTGTGGGGGCGTGGCCAATTGTTAGATTGTGTTTGGAAGGACAGCCAGGGGCGGGGAAGAGGGGCATTTCTGAGATGATGGGGGGACTGGTGCCATGGAGGGAAGAGGAGTGAGGTGGAGATCGGGAATTCCAGCCAAAGAGAAATGGGGTCCCTGGGAGAAAATTCCCACTCCGGCAGTCCTGGAGTTGTCCTCGTGGAGACTTGCTTACGCGAGTAAAAGGACAGCATCGTCTTGACAAAATTTCAGCCCTCAGTCTAGTCTTGTAAATGATAGATCAGGAATGCTCTTAACCGTCATTACCTTGATCCAGCCCTAGGTTTCCCTTTTCTCATTTGTAAAATTGTTATAGTAATACCTTTTTCATTCATTTGTGGTGACATTTAAATGAGGTAATATATGTGAAGCTCTTAGCAAACACAGCGCTTCTTCTTCGTGGGTTCCGCGTGGGGTGGATTCAACCAACCTCAAATCAAAAATACTCTTCAGAAAAAGAAAAATGCCTTTGTACTGAACATGTAGAGGCTTTTTTTTCTTGTCATTATTTCCTAAACTATACAGTATAACAACTATTTACATCCCTTCTACATTGTATTAGGTGTTATAAGTTACCTACAGGTGATTAAGGTACATAGGAGGATGCTGCGCATACGTTGTATCAAACAGTACACCGTTCTATCAGGGACTTCAGCATCAGCAGGTGTTGGTATCCTCGGGGGTCCTGAATCCAGTTCCTCACAGATACCGAGGGACCGCTGTACTTAGTTCAGAGTACAGTTGAGGCTTCATTTTGAGGTCTGTGGAGGGCGTGGAAAGACCCAGGTCTGAAATTGGCTCTTAACTGCTCATTTTTAGGACAGCTTCCCTCCCAGCCAGCCCTTTACCAGAGGCAATGCACCACCTTTGCAGCCGTTATAAGAACCTGGCTCTTTCCAGCCCTATGTGGAATGTTTTATCGCTTTCATAAGCTAATCATTTAAAAAAAAGGTCTTTTTTTGAAATGAAAAAAAAAAAAATCACTATTTAAGTTTGTAAGTATAAACTATTTTAGTAATGTCCTCTATTTTAGTAATCCAGTATTTTAGTAATGTCTTCTATTTTAAGTGAAATATTTTAATTATGGAGAAAATAACATAACAGTTGTACCTGTACCCTGAAAAAAGTAAATGTCAATTTTTTTTATGCTTTTTACTTTTTTATTGGGGGGACAGTGTGACATTTCAGCTATAGTACACATTCTGTGCCCACACACCCAAGAACTTTGAAATTTAACATGTCTTTCTGTGGAGGCACTGTGGCTCCACAGGACTGATGTGGTGGATATTAGTACCTATGTAAGCTGGGTGTCCTCCCTTCTAATCCCCACTCACCCAAGAGGTTTGCTGCTTCCAGCTTACCATGGGGATTATGGCTGCCATTTTGGTTCTGTCCTCATGTCATTTGTGTTTCTACCCTCTTAAGAAACCTGCCTTCTCTGCCCTCCTGGTTCCTCTTGAGTGAGCTCCATGATAGACTTTCCCAGACTCAGCAGCTGACGAGCATTTCGTTGGTTTGGTTGGCCTTTATTGAGCCAGTGACCACTCTTCCCTTCTAAATGGTCCACTGTCTTTACCAAGGGGCAGTCATGTCTGTTGCAAGCATTCAGGAAAGAGTGGCCTTCCATAGTCAAATGTACTCTATTTTATAAAGTGTGATTTAAAAAATTAATGGTCCAGTCAGCCCTCCTCATCCTCTGGGAATTGATTCCAGCAGTCCCCCTACCCCTGCAACAGACCAAATCTGCTGATGCTCCAAGTCCTTGATATAAAATGGCGTTAAGGCCAGGCACGGTGGCTCATGACTGTAATCCCAGCACTTTGGGAGGCTGAGGCGGGCAGATCACCTGAGGTCAGGAATTTGAGACCAGACTGGCCAACATAGCGAAACCCTGTCTTTACTAAAAATACAAAAATTAGCCAAGCGTGGCGGTGGGCACCTGTAGTCCCAGCTACTTGGGAGGCTGAGGCAAGAGAATCCCTTGAACCTCGGAGGTGGGGGATTGCAGTGAGCCGAGATCACGCCACTGCACTCCAGCCTGGGTGACAGAGTGAGACTCAGTCTCAAAAACAAAAACAAAATGGCATAGCACAGTCAGCCCAATATATTTGCAGGTTTCGCCCTGAGGTTGCTTGAATCTGTGGATGCAAAACCCTCAGATATGGAGTGCTGACTATAACTAAATGTTTTTAACTAAACACAATGTATACTGTCTCAGTTTGCCACAGTGGTAATCCCATCTTAACAATGAGCAAACTGAGGCTTAGTAAAATTAGACATTTAGGTGTTGGGTACTGTTTGAGCCTACAGTCATTGTTCTGCAGTCTGTAACTATTTTGCCAGTAGTAGAAAAGGAGGAATGTTCCATTGTCAGGGCAGAATGAACTTTGGCATTCACATGGGTTCTCTTCAACCTTACTTCCCTGCAGTCCCTGATTCCCCAAGGCAGAGGAAATACCCTGGTGGAGCCCTTCTTCCATAGAACCAGAAATGGCATCTGTGGATTTCAAGACCTACGTGGATCAGGCCTGCAGAGCTGCTGAGGAGTTTGTCAACGTCTACTACACCACCATGGATAAGCGGCGGCGTTTGCTCTCCCGCCTATACATGGGCACAGCCACCCTGGTCTGGAATGGCAATGCTGTTTCAGGACAAGAATCCTTGAGTGAGTTTTTTGAAATGCTGCCTTCCAGCGAGTTCCAAATCAGTGTGGTAGACTGCCAGCCTGTACATGATGAAGCCACACCGAGCCAGACCACAGTCCTTGTTGTGATCTGTGGATCAGTGAAGTTTGAGGGGAACAAACAACGGGACTTCAACCAGAACTTCATCCTGACCGCCCAGGCCTCACCCAGCAACACAGTGTGGAAGATCGCAAGTGACTGCTTCCGCTTCCAGGATTGGGCCAGCTAGTGGGGGTGGCAGAGGTCTCTGCTTCATTCAGCCCTAGCTCTGTAGAGAAATGCAAACCTCAACTCTCAAGGATATGAGGAACACAAGTTCATTTCTGTTGTTGCGGAGACACTGCAGACTCCACTGTGCTGAGGTTGAACTCTTTTTTTGTTGCTCAAGTTCTAGGAGTCCCTTTCCTGAATATATACTTGTTTGTGATAGTTTCCTTTTCAAAGTAGTAAACTTTTCTATTTTTCTACTTGCCCAGTAGAGACTCTGATTCTGGAAATTCTGACAAATAATTTAATAATACACATGTTGCTTCTTTCCCCCCGTCTGATGTGTTTGACCAGGTTTTGAGGGAGGAGGAGGGCTAAAGGCAGAAAGCATAATAGGAAGCACCCGCACAGGGGTGAGGATCAGGGCTTAGTACCTACCCCAGGCAACGGTATGCACACAGTTGACCCACCTGGAACTGTGATTCACAACCCCATGCACACTAGAATCCCTTGGGACACTGAAAATTACCTGTGCCAAGGCCATACTGCAGACCCAACCATGCTTGAGTCTGTGTGTGTGGTGGTGGATAGGGGTTTTTTTTGTTTTTTGTTTGTTTGTTTGTTTTTGAGACAGGGTCTTGCTCTGTCACCCAGATTGGAGTGCAGTGGCATAATCTTGGCTCACTGCAACCTCCATCTCCTGGGTTCAAATAATTATTGTGCCTCAGCCTCCTGCGTAGCTGGGATTGCAGGCACATGCCACCACACTGGTTAATTGTTTGCCTGAACCTTTGAGGGTAGGGCTGGGCATGGGCAGTTTTTAAAAGCACCCTAGTTGTCTTTTAGGATACATCACCTTAGGATGTAGCAGAATCACCTAACAGATGACTGGGCCCTATCTTAGCACCTTAGCTGAGAATTGATGAGAACAGATGAAATACTAGAGTTAGCTAATAATTGCTTTTAAATGAAGCCACTATATTAAACTCATTCATAAAGAGAAAGTGAATCAGTACTGATTCTGAGAGGAAGAAGCACTGAAACTGTGATGGAGGACATCAGAACTACAAGCTGCTTTTACTGATCCTAAAGGCCAAACCCAATTGCATTTCTCCAATGTAAAGAATAGAAAACCCTGTAGAAGTTGGACCAATAGATGATGTGCCTGCCATGCTGCAGCTTCCCCAGTTGTCTTTGGTAAGAGTGTGCTAGGTTTGGGATAGGGTAGTCAAGATATTGGAATGGGAAATTTTGAGAAGGGTAAGAATTCTGATGAGCACAGTGACATGGGTAGCTGTTTCCTCTTGACACCCCTTCTCTGTGATCTGAAGGCCAGTGTTTTGAGAGACAAGGGACCCATCTTAAATACTTGACTTTCTCATTCACTTTGTAGCTAGGCCTGACGTGATTAAGTTCTGGCCAATGTAATACAAGGACTGAACTTGTGGGAATTTTCCTTCAACAGACCCTTCTTTCTTCCCCCCTCTATCCTGCTGCCTGGAAAGGTTATGCTGACCTGACCACAGGCTCTGGCTCAGTCTTGGCCAAGAGAACAGCGCAGCTATACCCTAGAGGTAGGATAGTGCTAAGCTAAAAGGAGCCTAGGTCCCATGTGTAAACACCAAAATAGGCCCAGCTCACTCAACCTAAGACTTATTTTTAAATGAGAAATAAATCTCATCTTAAGCCATTATCAGTTTGGGGTGTGTGACACTGACACACAGCAGTAATCCTAAGAGAGGAAAAGGATTTGAATGGGGCAGACTGTGTTCACTATTAGGGCCAGAGGACACAGGTCGGCCCCAACTACTGCCCCTCAGGTCCGGGCCAGACCCCCAGTGGGCAGGGCGGATAGGGCACAGGGCACTGCGTCCCCACCCACACTAGCCTGGTTGCCGGCGGACTCTAAGGGCACAGCGGGAAGCTCCGCCCTTGCCATGCCCCCGCCACCCGGGAAGGCAAGACAGGTGTGCGTGGCACCCTTCTCCTTCGTTTCTGGGACACATCACCAACCGGCCGTGCAGCAGTTACAGGCAGATGGCTCGGCTCGTCCCTGTGGGTGGGGTTTCCCAACGGCGGAAAGCGCAAGCCCCTCCCGTTCTGTCCAGCGCGCTGCCGCTGCCTTAATTATAAGGCAGATGAAGGTGAAGAGTTTACTGGTTTTTATGTTTACAACTTTTTGTATATTTTAAGTTATTCTAGAAAGTTTAAGAAATTAATTATGCTGAGGAGTGTAATCAGCACGCAGTGCGAGTTTGTTCTTATAGTGGCCACGTCCACAAACCCTGTGGTGTGAAGAACAGAAGGCGTTCTGCTTTCTGTGTTTCACCGGCTCTCCCTCGCTTCAACTTCCAGGTACTGGAGTAGTGGTGACAGCAAGGTCTGTTGGTTTCTTTGATTTGGGTTTGATGAAAACCCACTCCAGTGGGGTACGGGGTGGGCAGGGAGAACAGGGGCTGGGGTGGGAGGGGCAGGAGTTGGGGCCTGGGGGCGGAGGAGATGAAGGGGAGAGTAGCTTGGAGATATCTGGAAGAGACATTGGAAGGCCGGGGGAGCTGAAATAGACATTAAGTGAAGCTGAGGAGTCCTAGTGAACCCGTTACCTCTGATCCAGCTATGCCCAGAACACCAGGAAATCAAGAAACTTCTGAATGTGGTCTACTGCAAGTTTGGAAGGTGCACACCTGTTGCTGCTGATTTGGACAATTTGGGGGAAGAGCAGATTTAGATGCTGCTTTGGTCGACCTTAAACACCAGCCCTGCCTCCCCTACCACCTTGCCAACTTAGAGCCCAGTCTCTCCTTTAAAGAGCAAACAGAAAACTGGAGAAAGTTACTTTGTCCTGTAGACAAAAGCCTGCGACTAGGTAAGAGGAGGGATCCATGATGCAAAACTTAAGACCAGCCTGGTCAAAAAGGCGAAACCCCATCTCTACTAAAAATAGAAAAATTAGCTGGGCGTGGTGGCAGGCGCCTGTAATCCCAGCTACTCGGGAAACTGAGGCAGGAGAATCGCTTGAACCCAGGAGGCGAAGGTTGCAGTCAACCAAGATCGCGCCACTGCATTCCAGTCTGGGCGACAGTGAGACTCCGTATCAAAAAACAAAAAATCTTACACATAACCAACGAGCCTTGTGAGAAATGGCTTAACATTGTGACACCTTGCCCAATTTTAAAGCAGGTAAAGGCGTGTGTTAAAACTCAACTGTTGAATTGAACCCCAGCTGCTTAATTTGATGTTGGACTGTAATCTATTTTGCAGCACTGTAGAGCCTTGGAATCTGCACATTAGGAAGAGCCCCCACGAGGCAGTGGCGTTCTTTCTCGATCAGAGCCCACACGCCTCCTGGGGCTCCCTCTCCCGAGCCGGGCTCCCTGTGAGCCCGGCCGCCGCTCTTCTGAGGGCTGCTCTTCCCCCATGACAAGAACGCCACGCCCTAAGTAGCTCTCGGAACCCAGAGCGCCCATGGGCAGCTCTCGCCAGGACGTGCTGACCGAGGTAGGCTGCCCAGCAGAGTAGGGATGTTGAGGAAAGGATAGCAGCTCCGCAAAGGAGCTGGGTAAAACCACAGCCCAGACCCCGCTGGCCACCAGTCCGAAACCAAGACGCAGGGGGTCGTGCTGGTTTGGCACTCAACCGCAGGTTCCAGTCTCCCGGATACAGCCGACGTCACTACCCTGCGACCGCTCAGGACCCTTCGGAGGACGCTTTTGTCAGCTAGTAATCCCGCGGTGGCGCGCACCATGTGACTCCGGCGCCCTAACCCCGCCCTCCGTCTCCAAGGAGCCCTGGAAGGAACGATACCAGCAGCTCCAGAAGGCGGGGAGAGGCGGGGCCGGACTACGGGACAGCCAATGGGCGGGGAGCGCCGCCCAGCCTGACCCACCGGCCGCGCCCTCACGAGCCTGTGAGCGTGCGCCCGCCGTGCAGGTGAGGGACAGCGAGGACGTCTAGTGGGTAGGGCGCCGGGGTTGCGCGTGCTTCCGCGTTCTTCCTAGCGCGGTTTAGAATTTGATACATTTCTTTCCAGTCTATTTCTATAGATTTGTTTTCAAACCAAATCAGGCCCTGTGTAAAATAGTGTAGCCGTCTTTACTCATTGTAACATGGTGAGCATTTCCCCAAGCTATTACACATATTTTTAAACGTTGTTTTAATGACCGGCATAATAATCCAGTGCTTGGATATATCAAATTATTGACCATCTTCTTATAGGTGAGATTGTTTCCAGTTTCACTAATAAAAGTGCACTGCAGTGAACGCCCTTACATAAAAGTTCACTCCCGTGTACTTTCCTCGTGCAGAGTTCTGCAGCATGAAACACTGTATTTGTCAGTTTCATGTTTTATCAGTGGTTTATTATTGTTTTTATAGTATTCCATTGTCAGTGAAGTATGCCATTCACACTCTCAAGTGAATTGTCTATTCGTATTATTTTTAAAAAAATAACAAACATAAACTTAGAAAGGAGAGCTTTTTTTCTTCAAAGGGTGATAACCTGCAAGGTGGCCCTTCTGACAGGCTGGGAAGCATAGCCTCTGGCAGAAGCTCAAAAGGCAGGCACCTGGAGGGAAGGGGGCCTAAGACAGGCATTCAAGCTGAAGGGCTTAGCCAAGTACAGGAAGAGCTATGAATATTCATGAAACGGATCCTGACCCATGCTTACTGGACAAACATGCATGTTACAGGTGACCTATGTTTACTTTGGGGTGGACTCTTAGCATTTACATGTATTCATGTATTACACTTAACCCTATATGTTGAAAGGTCTTTTCAGGACACTAATGCACTTGTGTGCAGCCTCTGTAAACCGCCAGAATCAGCCCCTGTTCGGTTGTTTCCCATCAGGAAAAAGTTACTGCAGTCAGCCTCTGGTCCAATCAAAGTAGTAATTATTTGTGGAAGTGGCATGGCGGGGGATGGGGGGCGTCAGCATGTGGAGGTGGATGAGATGCACAGTGTTTGAATATTGCTTATCTAGAAGCCAGTGCTTGTTTGGCTGCTAGAGAATAAAAACCTTGTGGCAGTTAGGGCATAGTTTCTTCCTGAAGTGTAGAGGTGCGTGACAACCCTTGCCGGGCATGGCCCTTCATTGTTTATCATTTAGTATTGCCACAGAGTCCGTGAGTCTTATGACCTCTATATTAACCTTAATGCTAGGATGGGTGATGCACAGAAATGAGGCCTGTCCAACCTCTTGTTCCATCATGGCCAGGAACTCGGTTTTTAAGGTTTATTTTCTCCCTCTTGGCCAAGAAGGAGTCTGTTCAGTCAGCTGGGAGGCTTAGAATTTTATTTTTAGTTTACCATATACTTTGCTACTTTTGTGTTA